CTGCACCCAAATCCTTGTCTCTGGGTCTGCTTTTGGGGAAACCCAAATTAAGACATAGCCCCTCACTTCTAAGGCTCTTGCAAGCAGCTGGAAATCACATCTCCACTGGTTCCCAGGTATGGTTTGTTCAGGGCCATCTTGTGCTTCTCATTCCTGATTGATCTTTCTCTCAGATACTCCCTGGTTGGTCCTCCGGTCTTCCTGGTCTGTCCTCTCCCCCCATCACTTTGCCTTTGTGATCCTACAGCCTCATCTCTATTGCCTGGAGACCCCTGCTGACGTGCAGCCTCAGCATAGGGGAAGTAATTGCAAAGGAACCTGCTGCCTTAGAGAGGAGAGAAAGAGTCACAGTCACCATGTGGCTTAATTGAATTAAAGAAAAAAAGTCCTGCCCCACCTCCACAGTAACTCATCGCCCTCGACAGGGTGCAGGTAGAGCTCATGGCAGAAGCAAGAGAGTCAAGGCTGCAGGCTTGGCTCTAGGAAGCTTCTGACTCTGACAGGGGAGGAGCTGAGTGCTTGGGCCCCTGCGCAGAGCTCAGAGGCATAAGCAGTCTCCCGACCTAGGGATGAAGAAAGGAGGGTGTTTTGTGGATGAAGAGACAAGGGCTTTGGCTCTGAGATGTAGAGCATGACCCAGGAGGAAGGTCTGACCGAGACAATCCTGTGCTTGGGGCCAGCAGGTCAAGAGAGCTGGAAAAGACTGGGCAGAGGTGGTGAGGCGGTGCTCTCACTCCTCCCAGGGAGAAGTTGACCATCCGATAGGTCACAGTCAAGGATGGTAATTGGGTCTTGGGAGCCGTGGGCAAGGCTGCAGTGGGCTGTGCCTGTCAACCACTCCTTTCCTGAGGAGGCGCTCTCAGGCCAGCACGCCCTTCCTGCCAGCCGCTGCATCAAGCCTTAAGGGAGGTACGGGCTCCACTGGTCACGAGTCCAAGCTCTGTGCTCCAGCCTCGCGTCCTTGGATTTCTTGCTGTGTGGACTGGGCATGGGCCCAGCTCATCACAGGAGAACATGGCATTTCCTGTTCAACTCTATTTCAACTCTGTGTATTTCAACTCTTTGAATTGACTCTCAATCACGTGAGTGCTGTGCATTCATACTTCCTAGGCTGTCTTCTGGTTGCTTCTGTAGGAAGCTCCCTCCTCTGTCACACCCTAGAAGGCTGTGATTCACTGGGACACTTTCTCTCCATACTGTTTGCGAGGTAAAACGAACCATATTAGACACAATCTTGACCCAAGGCTGAGGAAGTTAAGAGCTATGGACTCCATTCAGGGGGTGCCTGGGATTCATGAAATGTTACTGAGCTGAGGGAGCAGACAGTCAGAGTTGAGCTTTGATAAGTGAAAGAAGAGACACATGCACACAGGACTTGATGGGGGGCAGGGTCTTAATATATTGGAAGCTGACTGTTTGATCTGAAGGCCTTTATGCCTAGAGCAGAGAGATATTTGTCCCAGTTTAAATATCACTCCTCATGAGTTCTTCTTTCTCATTTAAATGTGTTTTCCTCATTACACCCTCTTATAGCTTCCTCTGGTTTTCTTTCACAGCGTTTACTACAGTTTTGAAAGTTTTGTCTTCCTAATCAGACCTTAAACTCTTTGGGGGCAGGATCCATGTTTTATTCATTTCTGTATGATGCCAAAGAAAAATTGCACTGGACAGAGTTAAATAGACAAGGAGGACTTTATTGAAGACTATTGCAACAGGAGAGAGATTGAACTCAACTACACTGAAACAAAATGCAGGAGAGTTTTTAAGCCCAGGGGTAGGATAACAGAAAAATAGTGGAGGCCATCGGTCTATGTGATTAGACCACCTGTGTCTGCTAATTGGTGCTTATCAAAGAGAAGCTCTTACCTTCCTGCACAGACCGGGAGACAGGGGCACTGTTTTCCTTGATGACTACATTTCTAAGAGGACATTTCTGGGTTGTTAAACTGGTAAGAGGTTGGGAGAAGATTTACATCTCAAGGGGGGAGAGAAAGAATTTACAAGGACAAGTTTTCTAAAGTAACTGCTCTAAGGAAAGAGAGTTCAGTGACATAGAGTCAGGAAGAAACTGTCCAAAGTTTGGTCAAGCTGAGAGGAACACCAAGGCCGCCTTGGGAAATGACCTCCCCCTCTATGCTACATTCCTTCCCTACAGGGACAGGCAAAGAACACAGCAAATAATAGGTGCGTTTAATTAAAAAAAAGTTTTTGGGGGGGGCCACACTGTGTGGCTTGCAGGATCTTAGTTTTATTTATTTGTTTTTTATTTTTATCTGTTTGGCCGCACCGTGAGGCCTGTAGGATCTTAGTTCCCCGACCAGGGATCGAACCTGGGCCCTGGCAGTGAAAGTGCCAAGTCCTAACCACTGGACTGCCAGGGAATTCTTGGTGTGTTTCATTTAAAATGAACATTTGTATGTCTATTTGGTTAATCTCCATTTCCCTCTCTAGATGGTAAGCTGCATGAGGGCAGGGATCATACTTGTCTTGTTCGTTAGTATAAACCCAGCACCATCCACTTGCTTCCCATAGGTGCTCGCTAAGTGCTTGCAGAGAGAATGAATGAACGGATGGATGGAGGAAGAGACAGAAGCACCAAGGATAACTTCCAGCATTTCAGCGTGGGAGCAAGAAGGTAATGGTGCCAGTAGTGGCTGACATGTGGAAGTGACAATGATGGGCTGAGGGCAGAGCAAACAGTCATGTGATCCCAGGCTGTCCTGCTGACTTTGCCTGGAGGAGGGGACTAACAGTGTTTGGTGTCTGAGATGGAGAAGGTTAAGACAGCGCAGCTGAGCCTGGGGAGGCGGTAACATATGCGGTTACACCTCTCACTTGCCCTCAGTTTGATTCCTAACAAGCGACAAAGATCCTGAGGGAAGAGACAATGTTTGCTCTTTTGAGTTTATTTAGAAGATAGAGCTGTGTCAAGGTGAGGACCCCCTTCCGGGCCACCCGGAGGGCAGATGGATACTGGTGCCTGTAATTACTTTCAGGGTCAAAGCAGTGTAATCAGCTCCTTTGTCAGCAGCATTCACTGAATAGTTCTATCGAGCGCCTGAGGGTGATTTGTTCCAGCTCTGGAGTAATTGTCCAGTCAACGGCAGGTCCCGGGGGAGGGTGGTTCGAAGGCAACTTCCAGAACGTTTGAACATTTGTGATTAAGACTAGATGGCTTCATTAATGAGCAAATATTCTTTGAGCACCTACTGTGTGTTGGGTCCTGTGTCAGGCCTGTGGGAGGTGGAGGAGTGCTCTTGCTGTAAAGAGCCTGTGGATGGTTAAAGGGGATAAATAGAACCACCCTTAATCTTACGCTCATCTCAGGTGTTCCAATGAGAGCCCCAAGGAGGAAAGGCTTCTTACTAATGGAAGAGGCTCTGGAGTAGGATCTGGGAAGATGATGGGTAGGACTAGGATGGAGATAAGGAGTTGGCACTGACACACATTCAAAGTCAGTGACAAAGATTCCTTCCTTGACCAAACTCTAGCCAGCCTCCTGTGAACCCTCTTCTTGGCAGGACTCAACTTCGGCCTATAAAGACTTTAGCAAACACACAAACATAGTGTCTAACAGCTCAAGCCTGCATCCCTAGTAATGACCCTCGCCCCCTCGAAGTTCCTACCTGAGAAAACTCAAGGCTGCCAAATGAATTAATTCACTGTTCGAGCCAACACCTGAAGGTAGGGCCCGCTCTCAGTCTCTGTGGGAGGGTAGGAGCTTAACTTCGATAGGTACCAGTTAGCAAACCCAGATGGGTTTCACATGGACCAGACACCGCTTCCCACTTTTTGTAATTTTTCACTTTCCTGACTCTGTTCAAGCCCCTGCCATTCCTCCTCCCTCCTCCCTCCTCCTTCCTTTAAAATGCCCGGTCACCTCTGCACACAACAGAATGGAGCTCAGCGCTTTGCCCTACTGTCAGTGGTCACTAAGTCTGTTTTCACTGCTTTAGCTAAATGAGGACTGGTTGTGTCCATCTTTGACAGAAGGTCTCCACAAAGAAATAGAAGCAGAAAACTGGTGCACACAGTTTTCAAAAAGAGATCCTTTTGTTTTCAATCCAGCAGGGGAAATAGTGAGAGAAAGAGCTATGGAGAAAAGGGGGAGCCAGATCATACAGGGCCTTGGAGCCTCAAGCAAAGAGCTGGGGGTTTTGGCCTAAGTGCCACAAGAAGTGGAAGATTTTGAGTGCGGAAGTCAGAGGGTCAGAACAGTGCCCAGTACAAAGTAAGCATTCACTAAGTGTTCAGTGTTGCTGTTATCACTTGGAGTTCCAAAAAATGACTCGTGTGGTGGTGGTACTGAGAGAGGGTTGTGGGGAGTCAAGGTGGGCATGGGACAGTAGTTTGGAGGCCACAGCAGTGGCTGAGGCCAGAGGTGGCGGTGGTCTTGTCTGGCTCAGTGGTTATGGGGATGGAGAGAAGCGATTGAATAGAGGAGAGATTTAGGAGATCCAACTGGCAGGACTTGGTGAATGGCTGGAAGTGGTGGGGGCAGGGGAGAGGGAAAGGGATAAACTGAGGACGATGTCCAGGTTTCTGGCTTGTGAGAGTGTGTGGGTGATGGAGCTGTTCCTAGGTGTATGTGGGCCAGATGGGGAGATCACTTTTTCAGGTTGAATTAAAGAGCACATGGGATGGCAGTGTGCTGTTGTGTATATGGGGCTGGAGCTCTGGAGGGCCAGCCTTCAGGGAACGGGGACTATATTTATCCCACATTATACTTGATTTGATCCTGAGCTTCAGGCACAGCCCTGAGAACCTGGCATGTGTGTGACTTAGTTCAGGTTGTAGAGGAGGAAAAATTCTCCTCTATCCTCTTAGGTTCTCCAGCGGGACCTAAGAATTAAACTGACATAACATGGATTAATGGGAGAAAAGCAAACAAGTTTAATTACATTTTTACACGTGTACAGGACAAGAGAATGAAGACCTGAGGAAGTGACCAGAGCAGAAACCTTTATACCTTTTATTCAAAGAAATGATAAGTTTGGATTTCCCTGGTGGTCCAGTGGTTACGACTCTGCGCTTCCACCGCAGGGGGGCACAGGTTCGATCCCTGGTCAGGGAACTAAGATCCCACATGCTGTGTGGTGAAGCTAAAAAAAAAAAAGACAAGTTTGTGAAGAAATGACAAGACAAAGGGCAGTAAATTTTGGGGAAATAACTAAGAGATACAGTGGAAGGGGGACTAGCGGAAGATAGGATTATTTTAGCAAGCTTGTTTGTACAGACCCCTTTCAGTGTCTGTTCCAAATCTGTGGTGATAAAGATATTCTTGTCTTCCTGGTACAGAGAGGCGCCTTTCTCATGGGAAGTTTTATGGCCTGTTTTTAGGTAGAAAAGGGGAGGTCAGAGAACCCTTCCCGCATCTGCAGTTTCTCCAGTGCCTTCAGCTCAAAAGAATCATCATGCCCAAGTGGCATATTTTAGGGTGGCATGTCCTGAACTCCTTCAGAGTTCTCCTGGACTCCAAAACAAGATTCAAGTGAAGGGACTTTATTTGGGAAGTGGAGGTCACACCAGTGGGGAAGTGAAACAGGGAAGGAAAGGAGGCAGCAAAGTGTGTGTGGGGAAACACAGGCCTCAGAATGACCCCACACAAGAGGAGAGGGAGCTGGGGTATTTATACACTACAGTTCCTGGAGCAAGAGCCCTTACACACAGAGATACAGATACGACAGATGGAAGCTGGTCGGGCACAGTGAAATGTCTGAGGGGTATAACAGGACATGGACAGCATTGGCTACAAAGTCTAATGATGCAGTTTGTATAAACATGGAGACTTTTGTCTCACACTAGATGAAACCAGTCCTCTGATTAGTTTTATGTCATATTGGCAAGTTAACTGCAACCTTCAAATAAAACCTAGTTGAGATTGCAGTAAATTATGTTTGTAGCATAGGGGGGTGGGATACAATTGTAACCAACCTGTGAACTAATAGTTCCACATCTCATCACTTGGGGTTCATTAGTTTGTTAGAAGTGAACATTTATTGAGCATGTACTGTGTGCCAGGCTTCATGCTGAATAGGTTAGATATTGATATATTATCTCATTTAATCTTTATAATGAAAAACCCTGTGAGATAGGTATGGTTAGACCCATTTTATAGATGAGGAGGGACTCAGTGTTGTTTTTTTTGTTGTTGTTGTTTTTTCTGGCTTCGCCGCACGGCACGCGGGATCTTAGTTCCCTGACCAGGGATGGAACCCGTGCCCCCTGCAGTGGAAGTGTGCAGCCTTAACAACTGGACCACCAGAGAAGTCCTGGGACTCAGTGGTTTGCTCTTGTTGCAACAGTGTGCATTTGGCAGAACCAAGTTTCCACCCATTTTTTTTCCTCAACCTTTTGCTGCCGCTTGGCAGTTAGAAATTACAAGAGCAATCTTAGCTCAAGCATTTGGCTTATATTTGCGTTCAGTATTTATTGAAGTTCCCAGGCTCATCCAGTACTAACTGTCGGGGCTTAATAAGTTCTCAATAATAATGATTTCCCCCTGGATGAGTATAGATGCTTCTGTCAGCTGAGGCTGATTTCCACCTAATTTGCAGGGAATTTGTGTGGCACAATGATGAGCTAAATATTTATGCAGGGAGGATGTATGTACAAATCACATTTCCATAAGAAACACAAGGCAAATGAGAGTTTCCCACAAAAAAAGTTTATTGCTGGGAAAAGATGCCTTAGAGGATCCAACATTAGCCAGGATTAACCAGCATTATCCAAGAGTTAGCCATATTTAGGCAATTTTAACATTTATGCCAGATAAGTGTCTTTATTAAGAATTGCCAAGGATTACTAGAGGAGAAATCATGTTTGCTCCTCAGGGTTGAGGGAAAACACCTGGGAATATAGAATAGCTTTTTCTCCAAATGATCTAACCATCTTCGTGGATGACCCTGGGCAAGTTACTAACTGTCGCTCTGAGCCACAGTTTCTCAGGCTGTCATCTACTGGATAGGATTGGCTGTTCCTTAAGGCCCTGCCCACTCCGTTTTGTAATTCTGTGCGCTACAACTGTGCCTCTGTCTTTTTATCTCCACTGAGGACAGGCTGTTAACCTTGGACTACCAGCCTTCCTACTGAGGGAAAGGAGTCAACATTTCGGCTACTTATTGTGTGTCAGGCACCCGCTAGGTACTTTATGTCAATCAACTCATTACTCCTCACAGCAGCTCAGTGGCATAGGTTTTATTTCCATTGTATAGCTAAAAACGAATAAGTTGCAAGTTTACGAGCAGCTGCTACTTTTGGGGCCATGCTCCAGTCCTCCCCACCCACGTCTGAGTAAGTTCAACAGAAAGGTTTTTAAAGGGAAACGTTTTTACTTGCGGCTGTCTACCAAACGGGTACTAAGGAGCAAAGAGCATAGGACTTGGGGTTGTACAGACCTGAGTTCAAGTTCTGCCTCCTCCAGGCACTAGCTGAATGCCCGGGTGAGTCACATCACCTCTCCAAGTCCTGTTTCCTCATTGGCACACTTACCTTATGAGCTCTGTAGAGCAGGGCTGTTGTGTGGATTCCACGAGAAACCGTCCAGCTCTTTGAAACCAAGCTGAATTGGTTGGTCGTTCGACGTTTCCCTCTAAGGGTCATCTCAGATGGCCCTGCTCACTGCCGCTCCGATGTAAGAAGCAGCTCTGGATGTGGCCCTGGCTTCCTGCCCAGGCTTGCTCTCTTGAACACCTTCGCCTGACCCACCCAAGCCCTGGCTCTGCCTGACTTCTGCCTATGTGCATGCGCCGTATGGCTGGAGATACGGGTCCAAGCCCCAGCAACACCAGGTTCTACTTATGTGATGTGAAGTCACTCATCTGATTTTCTCTGAGACTCTGTTTCTCTTCTGTAAAATGGGGATCATTTTACAGACTTTGTTCAAGACTTTTGTAGTTGGTTAAACATCATGATGTTGAAATTAACTGCATGCATGTGTTCTGTCCTCACCCCAGGGAATGACCTCAGTCCTCCTGAATGAATTCTTTTTTTTTTTAAATTCAAATATAGTTGATTTACAATATTGTGTTAGTTTCAGTTGTACAGCAAAGTGATTCAGACATATATATATTTTTTTTTTTTCAGATTCTTTTCCATTATAGGTTATTACAAGATATTGACTATAGTTCCCTGTGCTATATAGTAGGTCCTTGTTTATTTTATGCATAGTAGTGTGTATCTGTTAATCCCATACTCTTAATTTATCTCCCCCTTTCCCCTTTGGGAACCCTAAGTTTTCTATGTCTGTGAGTCTGCTTCTGTTTTGTAAATAAATCCCTTTGTATTACTGAATGAATTCTTTTGCAGCCTTAAGAGTTCCTGGATTAAAGAGTCCCTCCTGCTTTGTTACAAAGGGACATACGAACCAGCTTGTCCATTGCTGTCCAGATTTAGGTGCCTTGAATGAGCAAATGAGTGAGCAACCTCCCTCCCTCAGATGTTGCTTTAAGACTGATTTCTGCCTGGCTGAGACAGATTTTCATGTAGATGTAATCTCATTTAATGTTTTCAAACCCCTGTATCCAGGCACAACCTGCTGAAGCCACAGAATCCGCAGGTGGCCGCCACACTGGGATCTGGAGCTAGATCCTCTTGCATCCTTTCTGCTGTGCCCACTGAAGCTCACAGTCCTAGCCTCTGCTTGGAATTCAGCTTTGCCCTCACCAAGACTCACAGCCTGCCTTTCAGGTTCACTTGCTTCTGAGGCTGTAACATGGCTTTGAAAATATATTTCAGGAAAATCGGAAAGTTGTAAAACAATTTTGAGGTCCAGGTTCATAGGGACTTCAGAAACTCTCTCTCTTAAATAACAGCTTTATTGAGATATAATTTAGATACAATAAAATTCACCTTGAAAAAGAATACTGGTTTATAGCACATTTACAGAGTTGTTGTATAGCCATCACCACTATCTAATTTTAGAACATTTTCATTACCTCCCAAAGAAACCCCATACCTATTAGCAGTCACTCCTCATACGTCCCTGGCAACCACTGATTTACTTTGTCTCTGTGAATCTGTCTATTCTGGGCATTTCATATAAATGGAATCGTACGCTATGTGGCCTTCTGTGACTGGCTTCTTTCACTCGGCATAATGTTTTCCAGGTTCATCCAAGTTGTTGCGTGTATTAGTATTTCATTCCTTTTATGGATGAATAATATTCCGTTGTATGGATGTGCCGCATGTTGTCTATTCATCAGCTGAGTTGATGGGTGTTTGGGTTGTTTCCCCCTTTTTTTTTTTTTTTTTGTGGTACGCGGGCCTCTTACTGTTGTGGCCTCTCCCCCTGCGGAGCACAGGCTCCAGACATGCAGGCTCAGCGGCCATGGCTCACGGGCCCAGCCACTCCACGGCACGTGGGATCCTCCTGCACCGGGGCACGAACCCGTGTCCCCTGCATCGGCAGGCAGACTTCCAACCACTGCGCCACCAGGGAAGCCCCGGGGTTGTTTCCCCCTTTTTTGACTTTTATGAATATTGCTGCAGTGAACATTCAGGTACAGATTTTTGTATGGACATATATTTTCAGTTCTCGGTATAGACTAAGGGTGGAACTGCTGGATCATATGGTAACTGTGTAACATTTTTTGTGGAACTGCCACACTATTTCCCAAAGTGGCTGCGACATTTAACAATCCCACCTCCAGAAACTCTGTTTTGGTGTTTGTTGATTGAAACAGGTTTTCAGATGCTGGCAATTTATTTGAGCTTCAAGCCCAGTTTGGTCCAAAGTCTCAGAGGAACGCTCATTGCATTGCAGATCTGAGCATGGCCAGAAAAGACCTTCTATAGTCTACAATGTTGCACCCTAAATATCCTGTAATAAAATTCAAAATATAGTACAGGCTTGGGTTTGAGTTCTTGAGTAAGAGTTATGATCTAGCACAGAAAGAACAGTTTAGAGCAGTGCCTATCTTGCTTTGAGTTCCTTTTGATGCGACACTGAGACAAGGATTTGAGTACAAGTTATTTCCTTGGGAGGTGATCCCAGGAAAAACCTGTGAAGGAACAGAGGAAGCGAAAGAGAGAAGGGAAGGAAGCCGATAAGAGGGGGTTATATCAAGCAGATCA